GGAAAACATACTGTTGTTGATGACCTCTGTTCTCCCTTTCGTGACATCATTGACTTGTACTCGCATGTACGGATCGCTCTGCAAGACCCTTAGACGAGGAAGCGACGACAACGGGAATGATTTACCTTGCCGCCCAATGTAGCTTCAACGTTTCTGGAGCCGGATCAACAATGCAGAGCGCTGAGACGTAGAAATCACATACTTCACATCCGTTGCCTTGTCCAGATGCAGGCGCACCACTCCGATCGGCGGCTTGTACTGGTCTGCGCCGTGCAGGCTGCCTGCCATATTCAGCGGCTTCCACTCGGCTGACAGTCGAACCTTGCCGCTCTTGCAGTTGCTCAGCGGGAACCAATCACGGCCACTAGCAGTGTCCTTCTTGCTGTCCAGCAGGTCTTGCAACTTGATGGACATGTAGCCGACCACAGGGTCCTTGAGGAAGTCGCGGTCATCGATGACCTTGATTGTGACGACAGACGACGTCTTGTCAGCGCACAGGAACTCGTAGGCCTGCTCCCAAACGGGCGCGTTGGTGTGCTTGAAGAGTTTCGTGCTAAAGGCCGCGTCCTTGCTGTCGCCGAGGTAGACTCTGGCCAAAGGATTGAGGTCGCCGGAGAGCGACTTGCTTTGATCCAGCTCTTTCGCTTGGTGGATTGTCAGGCGCACAATACCGACGCCTGGCAAGAATTGATAAGCGCCGCTGGTCAGCTACTGAGAAGCTAACTCACTGGTATCAGGCAGCTCTTGGCCTTCTTCGGGCTTGATGACAGGGTAGTAAGAGACATCATATCTCAGAATGCCCCGCTCCTTGCCGTCCTTGAGTAGAGCGGCCTCGATACCTTCGCGGGTGGCGTCCTGCTCCAACTGAGCAAGCTCGAAGCTCGTGCTGCTCATGAGTGCGTTCTTGCGATGGTCGTTGAAGTCGTACAAGCTCAAAACGAGGGATTCGTTCAGCGAGTTGATGAGAATGAACTTGGTCTCCATCCAAGTTGGGTTGTAACTGATACAACGATGAGCAGAAAGAAGTGGAGGGTCAAAAAAGAATTCATACGTATTGCTCTTGTACTTGGTCACCGCAAGCTCCTCGCGGTTGTTCAAGCTCAGGGAGATGTATGGGTCGGGAGTTCCGCCGCCGATCTTGGTACCCTTCAATCCGCGCGCAGACTCTACTGTTACTTGAAGGACACCAATGGCGGTGTCGAGAGGCGCGCCCGAAAGCAGCTGCTCCAAGTTCAAGGTGAACACATTGGGCTCGTACATCAACGGCGCAAGGGTAGCGTGCGTCATGTCGCGGATGAAGGACGACAGCCCGGGAATCTGGGTTCGGAATCAGTTAAACATTGGCCGGTGAATGAAAAGTAGATACAGACATTGCCGATATCAAACCCGAAAGTCTCGCCACCCACGGGTTTGAGAACGTAATCAATCACGGGCTTTTCCAAGAAACAAATCTCGACAATTTGGACGTGAGGAAAGTTGGACATGAGTTTCATGCGGATCCTCATGAGGCCGCTGAAGGTGATATCTTCAAGGAGGATAGGCATCGAAGCGGTTGCCAACCCTTTGCCCACTCGCACAGACAGAACAATCTTGGGGTTGACTTTGTTTGCAGCTTGGCGCGGTGTGAGGTCGGAGATATCATTGGGAGTGAAGGAGATGCCCCACTCCATTATGATCTCGTCGTCGGGAGTTTTGGGAAACGTCCGGACTTTGTCGATTCGAGGAGCCTTTGTCCCGAGAGTAAATTGAGTCAAACGAAGGGAATCAAGGAATGCTGGGGTGTTGGTACTGAGGATTTGGTCCACAGAAGAAATGATGGTGGCAGAAAGGACTGGCTCGTAAATGAGCCAGAAACGATCCAGGAAATTGTTTATCCAATCGGCGGACTCGTGCTCAGACAAGAGGCGGTTTTTGACGAGTTCGCGCTGAATATCGTCGCGTGCACAGCGGCGGACGCGTTCCATCGACGCGCTGTAGTATGTATTGCAAAAGGCGAGGACGATAAACAGCCATCCCCAGCCGAAGTGGAAGCGAGTCAAGAAATGCGAAGCGAATACAGCCTAACGGACGTGTGAGTTGGGCGGTGACAGCGCAATCGGGTGGACCTACGACGATGATGACGGCGGCATTGTGGTACCAGGAGCCGTAGAACTGCTCCCCCAGGAACATGTCGAGGACACCCTTGTCCTGTTCCTGTTCCACCTGGTCCTCGCCCTCGGCCAGCGGCACAGCATCCAAGCGTAAAGCCTGGCGCCAACCGACCTTGTACCAGTCTGGAATGGCGCCTGCAGGACCGCTGAGGGCACCGGGCGGCTGGGGAGTGTCGTCGTGGTCTTCTGAAGCATCTGCGGTCTTTTCGTCGTCGGCGTCCTCCACGGTGATAGTGGGGACGACGTTGGATTTGCCAGACTCGACTGTGAGCTCTGGAAAAGACGTGAGCGACGTGTCAAACACACGGACAGAAGTGAAAGCGCACCTCGTGCACCAGGACCCGAGTCGTTTTTCACGCTTTTGAGCTGGTCCCTGGCCTTGCCAGCTGCGGCGCCCTTTTCTGAGGGTTTCGCCTCTGGGTCGAAAGTGTGGACGGCGACGCGCCCGTTGTTGTTCTGCATAATAGCGTCGACTTCGCTTTGAGCGCCACCGTTGGGCGAGGCCATGCTGGCGGAGGAGATGGTGGTAAGGACGAGGCTGGGTGGCCTTTAAATAGGTCCCTATAAATGACGTATCTGCAGGCACGCAATAAGTTCCTAATTAATTAATTAATTCCACAAAACCCGCGTCCTGCTCCTGTTCCCTCGCAGTGTTGTGCGGAGCCAGAGCAGACCAGACCCAGACCCACAGGCTTGCTGGTTCGCTTTTTTCGAATTTTTGACCCAAGCGTTCTTCGATCCCAAAGCGGGAGTTGTTCTTTGATTGGCAAGAGCATCGCTGCTTGTCCTAATGCATCATGTCCTCTGCATCTCTTCGAGGTCTGTACAGTGACCCCTCCTCCGCCTGGTCCTTTGTACAGTCTGCCGCCGCCACGCCCTCAAATTCCTCCACACAGCCTGCCACTGCACCGGCGTACCAATGGTCTTCTCGCCCATCCCACAACTCAATATTTGACCTTTCACCAGAGCTCGCCGACCCGTCAGATGGAATCGACCCCATAAACCTCCTCAAAACCTTGGCGGCATCCGCTATTCTGCAGTATACCAGTACTGCTATTGCGATGCCATGGGAGGTTGCCAAATTACTCCTCCAGGTGCAATGGGTTCCCCGAGATGCCGGCGAACCTGAACCTTCAGAAGTGCCGGAAGACGACGACGATGCTGTCCGTGTCCTTCTGAGCGTCTATTCTTGCTGCTCATGTTTTCCCAGTTGAGCGACTCGTCGAATGACAACGACTCGGACTCGTACTTTGCCGACCCTAGCGCCACTCCGCACGCCGGATTTTCCGCGTTACGTCAGACAGATGAGCAAGGCTATGTCGTCCGTCGCTCAGTGCTGGAGGAGGGTACCCGCCCGGAATATATCATCCCCGTAGGCAGCGCGAATGGTGTCTGGGGCATGATGCGACGGGTCGGCCGTTTCCGGGGTGAAGGATGGCTGGCACTGTGGAAAGGTAAAATCGTCATCTTCTTTTCCTGGGCTCTCACCTACCTTTTGGCATGCAGGGTTATTGACGTCCTGCGTTACCGAAGTCCTCTCGTCAACCTTTCAGCCCATGATCCGTGGTCTTCTCCAGGCTCTGCTGCTCCCGACGACCGCCGTCTTTTACCATCCTCCAATGTTCCTCCCTGTTCTGTCTCACCTCATAATGGGCTTTATTCTCTCGCCCCTTGATCTGGTCAGAACCCGGCTGATCGTGCAATCCTTCTCCTCCCGTCACCTCACTTACACCGGTCCCTTTGACGCGCTCTCTCGCATTCTCCGCGAAGAGGGTGGGTTGAAGGGCATCTACCTCCACCCCCATCTCCTCATCCCCACCCTCATCGACAACACCCTTCCCCCAATCGTTTCTTTCATTCTCCCCGGGCTCCTCGCTTCCTATGTTGGGGCACAGATCAGCGAGGATGCCAACCCCATCGCGTGGGGGTTCGCAGAACTCGCGGGCAGCTGTCTCGGCCTGCTTATTACGCTGCCCTTTGAGACTGTTCGTCGACGCCTGCAGGTTCAAGTCCGCGGGACGGCCAAGCCTATCAAGGGATGCGTCGAGCTGCGACCCGCGCCGTACAACGGCGTCGTTGACGCGTTCTGGCACATCCTGACCGAGGAACGGTCGGACCTGCCGATCCCGAGGGAGAAGCGGAAACGGCGGTTGAGCAAGGGGAAGGAGCGGGCGGGTACCGAGCAGACACCTCCGTCCGACAGCGAGGAGCAGAGCTGGATGCGGAGCACTGGTATCGGACAATTATACCGTGGACTGGGAATGCGGCTGGGGGCAAGTATCATTATGTTTGGACTCGCGCTGGTTAGTGGGGGGGATGAGGCGGATGGTGGATGGGCAGAGCTCTGACATATTTTTTGACGCAAATAATGAAACGACAATAATTTCCTCTCATCGACGAAATTCGCGTGCCAATTCAATGCCAATCCAATTTACCAGAAGCACAAGACCTACAAGCACAGAAGCTGTCCGTGCTCCGTCGGAAATGATGTTTTGGGTAAATTTTGGATTTACTTTTTTTGGCCATCCACTTGTGTACTGTAGTGGTTAATTCTTAGAACCACTTGTGTAGTGTAGTGGTTAATTGTCAGAGCTTTTGGCGGCCGTGCGATACGTTTGCTATTCACTCATAGTGTAGTTCAATTTGGATAAGACCTTGGTTCGGATGGCTATACACTTGTAGTATAGTGGTTGAAATTATTGTCAAAGCTTTTATTCAACAGTTTTCCGGCCCCACCCGCTTGTGTAGTGTGGTGGTTTGATAAACTGCCACCAGGAAAGGGAGGACTTTTCGAACAACGCAATGGGAAATGCGTTCGGAAAAGAGTGAATGAAGGGAGAAACTCAAAAAAGGTCGTGCCCGGGTTCGAACCGGGGTTACGAGAAGAATGATTGGGTAGATTCAAAATCTCGAGTGATAACCACTACACTACACAACCGCTGCGAGAGGTGTCCAGTGATACAGATATGTAGAAAGGGCTCCGGAAAGCGTTAAACGCAGGAGAAACTTGCGAGAAAATTCACAAGTCCGCTTTTGATCGCGACTTGGTGCGAAGGCTGAAAGGCAAAAATGCACCAAGTCTAGATCAAAAATGGACTTGTGAAATGTTACCTGTCGCCCCCCGACAAGAGGCCCGGAAGGGAAAAGATTGCACCACCACCGAGGAATGGGCTATCATTGTTTTTGGCTGTTTCGTTTCAAGAAGGATTGAGGTGCGCCAGAACCTCGAGTCATCACTGAAAAGCATCCCTCGACTTGTTATGAGCAGGACACCTTAGCTAGCATGGCTCTAAAACCCAAGTACACTTCCATTTCAGTACAGCATCTATGTCGTAGTAACAATCTCATACCAGTGGTTCTCAACAGGCCAATGAGTGTCTCCAGAATTTTTCTGCATGATATAGGAGGACGTCCATAGTGACTGTAGCAAGGGGGCCTTCGGAGCAGCTACTGGAATGTCAAGGTCGACTTGGGAGGAAGAAGCTGCTCTACAGTTGTTGAATGTGACTGTCGCTGGAGTTGGCGTCTCCACAGCAAACAAGCTCAAGACCATTATGGTGGGGCGGGAGAACTTTGTGATTGACAGTGAGACCGAGAAAGTTAACGTGCCCCAGCTGAGCGCGTGAAGAGCTCCAGATGTACAAACACAGTAGAAGAACATCTTCTGTTGACTAGGATGGTCGGTGGAGCTCGACGAAAGAAGATTCCCATCTTGGGCTTGCGATTCACGTGCAGGCGTAGTGTGCACGAATCGGGAAATACCCCAAGTGCGAGGAAGGTCCGAGGGAAGCCCTCGTAGGTCCTCCTCTCAAGCGTTGGACTGGATGCGGCTTTGCAGTTGGGCCCAGTTGAAAAAGAAAAGACACGGTCAACTCGGTAGAAAGTCCGCCCGGCCCAGACCAAAGTTCGAGAATCGATTCTAGCACCCGGCACCAGATGTACCTTTCCATAACACCCTTCCAGACTGCCTTGTTTCGTCGAGGCCGCTGAAGCTATCGTGTGACGAGCTTCACACGATCGGATGGACTTGAAGAGCAAGAATGCAAGAGCGCATGTGGCTGCGCTCTCCATCTTACGTTGTGGGCTAGTACATACTAGGCAGCCGGAGAGAGTTGAACGAAGTGACGGAGGTCGACGGCGTTTAACTTTGAAACGCGCAGCGGCACGTGCACCCCAAAAATTGCGGCGGTTTGGGGAGGACGAGTCTTGTCTGTTTTTCCGTCTTCCATCACCATGGCTGGTCTGTGTTCCCCAATCTTTCCTTGGCCGCACTTACCCCCGCATAGAAAAACCAATATCCGTTGTCCCCTTGCTCTCAAAAGCCCTCCACAGAATACGCACCACACCCCCGCGTATAATTGCGTCGCCTCCCACTCGTGCGGTCTTTATCTTCTGCTCCGACTTTCCCACTTATCGCCAATTCCAGAGCCGCGCAGAGCTGCCGTATCCCTCATTATTCGCGTGGTTCCCGCCCCGAATGCAGTCCTATCCGCCGAATCTTCAAATCCCACACTCTCCGACTTTTTCGAGCTCGACTGGGTCAATGACCCAGCGGCTCGTCCCGAGATCCTCTTCTTGCAGCGCGAAAATCCCGCCCCAGAAGATTCGGGCATGTCCAGAATGCGCAATACGCACGAGGCGCATGTCGCATTCCCGGGTGGTCGCACGGAAGCGGACGATGAAGGTGGACTATACACTGGTATGTTCGTTGCCTGTGGTCCCAGTTTGTTTTCTGACAATAGTCTAAGCCATGCGGCAGACGTGGGAGGAGATTGGTATCGACCTCGCCGAGAAAGACTATACTTGCGTCGGGCAGCTGGACGACCGAGAGATAACGACATCGTTGGGGAAACGGCTTTTAATGATTCTCTCGCCTTTTGTTTTCCTTCAAGTCACACCCCATGCACCACCTCCAGAGCCCACGCCCTCGACTACCCTGCACTGGACACCCTTGGCGTCACTCGTCTCGGCGCATACTCCTCCCAGGTGGTCTACCGTCACTGTAGACGCCGCTTCCCGTCTCGCCCCGAAACATTCCACCGCACTGCGCCTCCTCGTTCAGGCATTGGTCGGCAGCATGGAGTTTCCCGCGATTATTGTGCAGCCTTCGTCCCCGCCCTCTGTAACACCAGACGGTAAACTAAATATCGACATCCTGGAGAAGGGCATCGTGCAGCCCAGCCGGCCACAGAAGCTAAAACTGTGGGGCCTCTCGCTGGGCATGACTTTGGATCTCATGTCGTACATGGTCTTACCGGCACCTTCCTCGATGCGTGACAACTCCGAGGCACACAAGAGCAGCTCTGGATCGTCGTCACCGATTTCGCCAATGGTGCAGCTTCCGTACCAAACGGGTGCAGAGGGCATCCGTATGGACGTCGTTGCACCCAGCCTGGCAAGTGTGTTCCCGCGATTTTCGTACCCCGATGTAAATTTCTGGATATGGTACGTTCAAAGTATTTCATTTGGAACGACTTGCTCATTCTATCCCAGGGTGTTTGGTAAACGGTACAGAGAGGTTGTACGCGGATGGGAGGCCAGCGTGAGAGGTGGGGGTACAAATGACCGACGGTTCGTTCTTCTCGCAATCTCTTGTCAACTCGTACTCACAAGCCGTTCAGAATAAATTGGTCAGGATCGGCGTTGAGCACGTTTTATGCCGCAATCCGCAAGGCGCTTGTTGTGGTTATAGTGGCTCGTGCGCTAGGTATACTCTTTGGAGTCGCGTTCGCTACTTGGTGGATATTTGGACAATAGACGATAGACATCCGCAGCGGCTTTTTATACACGCTTTATAGTAGTGTCACAGTCTATTGTAGCTGTTTTCTATTGTATCTTGTACACGATCGGGCGCATTACAGCGGTAAGCCGCAGACTTCACAGTCAGTCCCGCCATGCGCGTTCTCAAACGTGCAATGGGGGCAGATTCGAATACCAGCGCTGGATCCCTCTCCGCTCCCTCGGGCAGCAGCTTCCGCTGCCGCGATTTGGTCGAAAACATCTTGCGGGATGTCATCGTCCCTCGAGGAGGACATCGGTTGCGATGCTAGCAGGTATTAGACAAGAGAAATGCAAGATAACCAAAAACGTACATCCACTCTCCCGCGTAAACGTCATCAGCGTGTTCCAGCCTTCAGTAGCCAGCAGCGGGTCCAGTTGGCTCAGATCCTCCAACAGCGTAGGTGATGTTACTATGCGCATCATCAACTTCACGTCCTCCTATGAAATATGTCAGTTGCTGTGCGCGGCACCCAAAAGTAAACCCACAGGAGAAAACAACTGTGTCGTATCAAGGAAAGCGACAAGATGCCAATCGCTCAACCACGCCGCCAGCTCTCTCCGTTTGTGCGCCTCGCCGGGTTTCGCACTCCGACTGTCCACGATATTCGGCGCATCCAACCCCGCGAGGGAACTGATTACCCTTTCTATGCGCTGGTCTTCCAAACCAGGTCGGTTCTCAATCGCGAACTTCGCTGATTGGAACAAGGGTGACGGGTTTTGTGGGAATCCGTGGGTTACCTGCCGAAAGAAATCAGATTGGTTTTGCTTCGAAACCCTCAACTTACGTTAACCATGAGATATTCAACGGGGAAGGCTGGCTTGGCCGTCTTCTTCACCTCAAGCCCGTATTCGTTCTTGAAAGAAAAGAAAACGTCAGGCACATATCTTGCCGAGCCCTGCGTTCGATCCTCCTCCTTTACTCGAACAATTCCCGGGTCGACACTCGCTTCTATCATGTCCGCTTCGACCATCGCACAGGCTTGTTCAGAAACCTGGTACGCGGCTATATCTACCTGCCCGTCCTCGGTGGCAGTAAGAATAGCGGTGACCAGCCTTGAAGCAAATTGGCCTGTAGGCGAAGACCTCGAAGGTGTCGGGTTGGATTTTTGCATCGTCGCTGCAAAGATTGCCTCTAGCGAAGACATGTAAAAGGAGCCTGGATGCCGCTTGTAAACGTTTTTTGTTCGATCCTCCTCTGTTGGCGTCAAGTCCGTGAAGATGTACCCAACCACCGTTAAAGGCGTCGCGGCCGACGCAGACAGTTCTCGAATCCGTGGTTCTTCCTCCCATGGTAAACCTAAAGTAAGTCCATCGAGTTCGCCCTCTTGCGGAGGCTCGTATATGACCTCGACCACAGCCTTGACCCCCATTGGCACCTTGTCGTACGGTTGGTACCGCCCAATCAACCAGCCGAACCGTTGGAAACCAGTGGACCGCCAAGCATGCAGGAAGCGGTCGATCACGTCGGTCGAGGCAATCTCGAGGTGGTCAACCATTCGGAAAGGCTGCGATTGCAGGGTTATGGCGGAGGGTTGACAAGACGTGCAGATGCCGGAAGGCCAAGACGGATGACCGCTGGGACATGGCACCTTCACCTTGTAGGAAAGCGGGGTGAGCGGGGGGAGAGAGGATGTGGACGTGGCGGACGAAGACGACTTTGGAGAGATTTGCTTCAAGTACGCGTGGTACGAGAGATGCTTGATTGCATGCTCCTTGTGGTAAAGAGCATTGTACGGTTCAAGAGGCATGCAGTAGTCGCACATTCCGTTGGTGGCGTGAGTGCAGAACCGCGCGTCCCGACTGCGGGGAATTTTCCCGTCTTGGGACCGCCAGTACACGTCCACCGGGTCTTCTTTCACAGTCTCCCATATACGCGTCGTTGTGGGAACAGCATCGCTACTAGGCTGGGTGGAAGAACTCGACGAGGGAGCCTCTTTGGACACATAGTTTACGAAGACCAAGTCGGTGTGGCTGAAACAGAATTAGGCGCGTTCAGAACATCCTGGTTCTAACATACTTGAGACCCAAGCTTTTCAACGATCGACCTTTCAAGGTCGAAAAGTTTGCTTCGTTTCCCCGTGGCTGGTTGGATATGGTGAAGCTCGATGGGTCCGCATCCGGGGCGGTTTCCTGGACCTAGAAGCAGCGTCAGTGCGG